GAGGCAGAGATGGGGCCAGGGCCATCTGGGAGCTATGCACGGACTCCAGAGCCTCCAGAGGCGGACAGCAGAGAGGCAGAGGAACAGGAGGAGCCTGTTCCTAGTGCATGCATGCGAAGAGCTGCCAGAAGGCAAGAGCAGTTGAAGCAAAAAGGATGACTCGGGAGTAAAGCCAGAAGATAATTGGCCACTCCCATAAGGCTTAAAAGAACAGTAACTGGGTTGATTCCAGTGCTTCTTATCAGCGTCTCTTGAACTTTGTGGGGGTTTTGCCAAGAAAAACCTTTGGCAGGTTGCCAAAAACATTAAAGCTTGTTGATAAGGCCAAAGAATTTGTTTTGCACTAAAGCTGAGAATGAATTAATTCTCAGCTATTTTAATAAAATAAGTTTGTTCAGGACTGCATTGTGTTTGGTAATTACTACTTGGACCTTGGTCAGAACAACTTGCTTGAGAAAGGTGGGGGAGGGAGGGAGGGAGAGAGAAAGGGATAAAAAATATTAAAATTAAAAAGTTAATCCGCGTGTGAAGAGGCCTTCATCCCACTGTCCCGGTGCACACCAAAGCTGGCTAAAAATTTCCCCAGCTGTTCTGAACTCTTTGTTCTCCGCTCTCTTCTTACCATCTTCACTTCTGCCTATAGTCCAGGGTTTTTCTTGCTTGGCTGGCTGGCTGCCAGCCAAGATTTTTTTTTTTTTTTTTTTTTACTACTGCTATGAAAGGTTTTATAGCATGTTTTATAACCTGCCATGAACACTCCTTATAAACAAAACAAAAGTTGAAATAAATACTGGAGACTGTCGGAAAGGGGGGTGCAGAACAGATCTTAGGCTGCCTTTAACTTCTGCCTTTTGTCAGCGGAAAACAACCTTAAGGTTATTTCACTTAACTGGTCTTCCGAGTGAAAAGTTTCCGAACCAAAGCCCCAAGGTGCGGTGATTAAAGAGGCCCATAAACTGGTCTAAAATCAAACCAAAACAAAAGCTTCTGTTCTGAACAAAATGGGGGTGGGGGTGGGGGGGGTGGAAACTTACCTTGCTTTCTACCTCCCTAAAAGATAATCAACCAAAAACCACAAGAGGGGAAGAATTAATAGAGGAAAATAACTTTTCAGGGTCAGCCTCACCAATGCACAGACTGAACTGAAACAGACTATCTCCAGAAGCAGATTTTATTATTTACGAGCGGCACTTACTTAATGTATGAACGCAGGTAACCTCAAGGGATACTGTGGGATGGGCTTTTCTACCTTTAAACATCCATGAATTTTGGCATCCTTACAGTCAGCCTCCAGATTGCCTGTCAAGCTCCATACAAAGCAGGGCCCTGATATTAATAACCCCCTTAGTCCTGTTTTCTCCTCTGTTTTCCTTTGCCTCTTCTGTGATTGCCTGATCAGTGCTCCTTTTGGGCAGAGATAAAAGTGAGGGAGTGAAGAACAGCGTTTACTTACTATCCACCACTGCTTCTGGCCAGTAAGGTGAGTTGGAATGGGGGGGGGGCAGGAAAGTGGAGGGGGGGAGGCAAAGATGAAAGTGAGAAGAAGGAGGAGGAGTTGGCCAAGAAGGTCTGGCTCAACCTCTAAAGGTCAAAGCGGCCTCTTTCAGACCATCCTCCTATGAAGGATGCTGGGAGTTGCGGTTCAATAATAGTCGGAGAAGACAGCTAGTTTGGTATAGTGGAGAAGGCATCAGGCTGTTAAAGTGAATTCTAGTTCTACTTTAGGCACAAAGCCAGCTAGGTGTTCTTGGGCCAGTCACTTTCTCTCAGCCCTAGGAAGGAGGCAATGGCAAACCACTTCTGAAAAATCTTGCCAAGAAAATTCCAGGGATTTGTCCTAGTCTGACCTGAAGGCACACAAAATACCTTTATCTATCATCCATCTCTCTATCTTTCTATTTTCCTCTCTCTCTCTCTCTCTCTCTCTCTCTCTCTCTCTGTCTGTCTTTCTGTATCATCTATCATCTATCTATCTATTTATCTATCTATCTATCTATCTATCTATCTATCTATCTATCTATGTAATCTATATCTATTTATCATCGTTCTCTCACTCTCTCATCTATCTATCTCTCATCTTTCTCTCTCTCATCTATCTCTCATCTATCTATCTATCTATATCTGTCTGTCTGTCTATGTGTATCATCTCTCATCTATCTATCTAATCTATATTTGTCTATCGTCTTTCTCTGTCTCTGTCTCTCATTTCTCATCTCTCATCTATCTATCTATATCTATCTATCTATCTATCTATCATCTCTCTCATCTCTCTCTCATCTCTCTCTCTCTCTCATCTCTCTCTCATCTATCTATCTATCTATCATCTATCTATCTATCTATCTATCTATCTATCTATCTATCATCTATCTATCCTCTCTCTCTCCTATCTATCTATCTATCTATCTATCTATCTATCTATCTATCTATCCATCTATCTATTTATCATCTATCTATCTCCTATCTGGAGGACTACCTGTTTCTCACAAGCTTAAATATCCTCGACTCTTTATTCAGAAATATTGATGATTCTTCTTCATTGTGCTTGCCAGCCATGGACAAGATGCTCTCACTTTGTCCTTCTCTGACCACAAAATCCTTTTGGATTCCTCCTGCTTTTCACAAATTGTTACATTTTCCTTGCTCCACAGGCTTTTATTTTATTATGTTGAGCCTGAAATGTCTCCTTCCGTTGTCTGTGCTGAATGTTTTGTCTGTTCATTCATTGTTTTTTAATGGGATTGTTACATTTTTAATTTATCTAAGTCGCATTAAGCAATATTAATCCATTGGAAAGGCAGTGTTTTTGCTGTCTAAAATACATAAATAACTCTCTTGACACAGAAACATTCCCCTATCAGCACCTGCTCAATGGGAAATGGAATCCCAAATAATTCTCCAACTGGCTGAATTATATACTCCTGAAATAAGCCTTACATTTTTCTCCTAGGGAAATTTCTCTCTGTGAGCTTTTCTACCTCAGCTCAGCATTTAGTTACTGGTGGGAATAACCCAGTGAAATCTATGCTTTGTGCTCTTCAGCAGGTCAGACAATACAATTCTTACAGGTCCCCCCCTGGCCTTGCAGCTGGTAAATTATCACAATATTAGGGGCTCAGCAAGGAAGGTCTAGGGAGTTTAAATGGCTTGCTTAAGACTCCTAGTGTGAGTCAAGGAGAGCTCTGGGAACTGTCTGTGGGTATTTGGGCCTTCTGGTTTCAAAGCCTCTCCCCGCTTTGTTTCATGTCCCTTTCGTATGACATAAAATCCTAGGCTTATTATTCAGGGGTCCTTTGGCATCACCCACATGCCTGCATGAAAAATGTGATGAGTTAAGGCCTAATGATCTACGGGCCCAGGTATTTCCCAGGAATGAATGACCAGCTAGGAGAATCTGATAGACGAAGGAGTGTATATGGACCATTAACCCCAGCCAGTCATTGCTCCCTGGGATACATCCTATGCTGCAGCAGGGTCATCATTGCTATCATAGGCCAGATATAAAAATAAATCTACGCAACTTTTTTTCCCCCCCACAGTGAAGAACAGGCACACATTTCTGGCTGGGAATGCTCTGCGCATAAATTGAAAAGAGAAAGGCTTCTCTAGCTAAGATGGAGAGTCCACAAATTAGAAGGGGAAATGGCCACTTGAAGTGATCATCATTGCCATGAAGTGGTGGGGAAAATGGGATGGAAAGAACTGATGAAAAACGGAAGATGATGAGCCAAGAGAAAAGGAATCTTATTTTACTGTTTTATATATATACTGGATCTATTTTTTTGACCCCCTTGGAGTGGCACTGTGAGAGTCAGGGTGATCCGAGCAGACAAAGTGCACAAAGACAAATGCTGAAGTCAGGGAATTAATCACAAAGGGTCAACAGTTTAGAGGATCAAACCAGGCACCACTAAACCCAATTTTTTAAAAAAATACTTCCATGGACTGGAATCTTGAACAAAAGCTGGGAATATGGACAGTGTACTTGGGGCTAGGAACATGCATAGGTCAAACTACATGTAACACTAATGATCTGTCTTCTCTCTCTCCCACCCACCCTCCCTCCAAAGGTGTCATGTGAGCAAAGGGATGGAGGACTGGTAATTTGCTTCCAGTGAAAGACAGGACGTTTAAAGCTTTCCCTACGTTGTTTTGTAAGACAAAATCTACCCTCCCAAAGCTGCTGTTAACCTCCCCAAGGGATTATTGCAAGCCTAACATCTAATAGCTTCAGGGAGTGAAGTGGATCAGGAAAATGACATTTAACAACCCATCTGCCTCTATTTTTAAAAGTGGGGGGGGGATCTTAGTTTATAGCTTGCCACTGGGAATAAACAGCAGCCTGAAGATCATATATTACTTAACTGGTTGAAAAAGAAAGCAAACCGTGATAAGAAGTTATGCAGGATGCTAAAAAGGAACTATCCAAGGGCAGCTTTTATTGTCCTCATGGAGATATCATTGCTGAAAAAACTCTGAAGCTACAAGTCAATCTTTTAATATAACTTGTGACTCTTACCTTAATAAGATACCACGTATAGGAAAATACCTGTGGTAGCAACCAACCTATTGAATATTGTATGGGGCTACAAGATATTGGCTGCTAATTCAGGTGGCTTTCAAAAGGATTGGAAATATTCCTAGAGGAAGCTCTATCAATGGCTACTAACTTTGACAACTAAGTGCTGCCTCCAGGCATGGGAGTAGCCCTCCCTTATATATTAGGTTCATGGGAACAGCAGTGGGAGAGGAAGACTGCCTTCATTTTGTATTTATGGGCTGCTTAGATGCCTCTGGTGGGCCGCCCTATGAGATGGAATGCTGGCAAGATAAGTCAAGACCTTTATCCAGCAGGAATATCCTCTTGTTCTCAACCAATTTGGACAACTATTAAAAGTAATCACAGTTCCATAAATCCATTCCTCCCCATGTCCTTTCTCCCAAAATATACATTCCGAAAGCATCCAAGGAGGTTTCAAGGCAAAATATCAATACTAAACCAATACATGCAAATTATTGTATTGCGTCAATGTTCAGAATATCAAGGAAAAAGGTGCTTCGTAGCTCCAAGGCAGACCAAGAATGTTTCCCTTTGTAGCGTATGTCTTCTGTGCTCAGATATAATTGTTCAAAGGGCTCTCTCAGTTGACCTTAAGACAAATTCCACCAAGTAAACGGAGATGAATTCAAAGGGAAAGATCAGAAAATAATCAATGCAATAACCAAACTCTTAATAAATGGGCCCAACTGGGCAACTATCTACTCACTTATTTGGAAAATGGACTTTTCAGGCGCAGGTAGCTGTTATAACTGTTCTCAATTTTTAATCATTCTCAGGATTGAGAATGGGGGGCTACCTTTCTCCTCACTTTCTGCTGCCCATGCCTTCCCAGATCTACAGAGATTCCCCTCCCAGCTGTTTTGGGAGGTGAGGCTTTTTTTCTTCTCCCAGCTGTTTTGAGAGGTGAGGCTTCCCCCCACTCCCAGCCTTTTGGGAGGTGAGGCTTCCCCCCACTTCCCCCCACTCCCAGCCATTTTGGGGGGTGAGGCTTTTTTTCTTCTCCCAGCCATTTTGGGAGGTGAGGCTTCCTCCCACTCCCAGCCGTTTTGGGGGTGAGGCTTTTTTTCTTCTCCCAGCCATTTTGGGAGGTGAGGCTTTCTCCCCCCCCCAGCACTGTTTTGGGATGTGAGACCAAAAGGGGGGGGGTCACATGTGCATGCACGGGGGGTCGCGCACCCATGTGCAGAGGGTGGGGCATCTGGGAGGGGCATTGCATTATGGTTGTGGGCATGCACATGCGTACAATAGCGCACACATGCACACTTTTGGCACCTGAGGAAAAAAAGGTTAGCCATCACTGCCCTAACCTATCACTGTAGCATCCATTTTCTTCATCACTTGGCTTTCCTTCGATGGACGAGAAGGCTTGAGATTTTTATATACCACGTGAGGTGCACCGGGCACTGTTGAAATAAGAGAAAAGACACTACTTTGACCTCAGTGTGCCAAATAAATAAATAAACGAAGCCTGTTTCTCCCATGGACTAGGGAATGAGAAGGCAGTGCCAGAGAGGGGATATGTTACAATAGCGTAATTGTGCCTCAATTCAGTGTTAGGTGGGGGGACCTTTTCCAAATGACCTCTGAAGGACTAACCTTTCCTTTGCTTTCTTCCTGCCTGGTTTCACCTCCTTGCCTTGAGGCATTCAGCTCTGTAATTGGGCAGATTGTTGTTGGTGCTTTGAAACTCTTCATCAGTCTTTTAATGTTAGGAAGTGAAGAGGGAACATATCTCCTACTGACCCAGCTGACCACCCAGGCAGAAGTGTGTGCTAGGGGCAATACCAGAGTGCAGTAATTTTCAAGCTGTTTGTTTACTTGTCAGCTGAGCTGGCTGGGCTGAGGATGACTGGGATAGAGCAAAAGAACATTTATTTATTTATTTATTTATTTAGTCAGATTTATATGCCGCCCTTCTCCCGTAGGACTCGGGGCAGCTCACAACAATAGAAAACGCGACAATAAGTAAAAATTAAATAGTATTAAAACCAAATTAAAATCCCCAAATACCCAAATTAAAATCCACGGCAGATCAGGGAAGTTGGTGGAAAAGCCATATCTTTAGGTTGGCGCGAAAGGTATGGAGGTCGGGGGCCGTCCGGAGCTCTGTGCGGCCACAGAAAACGCCCTCATCCTGGGGACCGCCAGCTGACACTGTCTAGCTGAGGGGACCCCGAGGAGGACAGCCCTATGTGAGCGCACTGGGCGGTGGGAGGCCAGTAGGAGGTGATCCTGCAAATACCCCGGGCCCATGCCATGACATTTACGGCTCTCCCTGCTCCATTTTTGCCTGAGTAGTTTATTCTTCACCTTCCTCTCTGTTGGCCAATTTTCTGGAATTTTTGTTTTGCTTTCCCTACAAATCTCAATTTGCAGTTACTCGACTGTTTTTATTAACAGTGGTTCCATGCCTTACTTAGTGTACATTCCAGGGGTGAAATGTAAAATTTGTTACTACCGGTTCTGTGGGCGTGGCTTGGTGGTGGTGGGGGTAATGTGACTGGGTGGGCGTGGCCAACTTTTTTTTTTTTTTTAACTTTTCAAAGGATTTTTTCTAATGCTTTGAAAAACCTCTTTGACGATCAGGCAACTCAGCTGGGATCGTCAGAGACTTTTCAAAGCTTTTTTTTTTTACCACCTCTTCGGCCAAGAGGTTGCAGAAAAAAATGCTTTGAAAAGCCTCTGATGATCCCACCTGAGCCGCGCGATCATCAGAGGCTTTTTTTTTTTTTTACTTTTAAAAGCATTTTTTCGTCGGAAGAGGTTGTAGAAAAAATGCTTTTAAAAATAAAATTTAAAAAAAGCCTCTGATGATCGTGCAGCTCAGCTGGGCATGGTGGGGGGGGGGTTGCAGGGATTTTTGCTACCTGTTCTCTGAACCACCCGCCGCCATCACTACCGGATCGCGCGATCCGGTCCAAACCGGGAGCATTTCACCCCTGGTACATTCCTATCCCTGCTTCGGTGATGCCTCCTGAATCCAGACAAGTATTTCCCTGCACCCACACAACTCCAGGGAAAAACAAGGTGTCCTTGCAAATGCATTTTGGATCCGAATGACACAACACTCTAGTGATGCAACTGTGTCTGCCTCTTCCTTTCTGTTCTCTGCAATCTTGAAGGCTTTTGCCTCAGTGAAACTTTCAGGATAAAAACAGGTTTCTTATCAATTTTCTTGGAGTTGAAACAGCTGAAGACCCTCAGAACATGTTGAACTGTACTTTATTTCACTGGACACAGAAAATAAAGTGTTTGTCCCTATACAGACACCCTGTAGGGGAAGCACACAGTTCCTGATCGGGAATTAGTGTCAACAGCTTATTCTACTCATTGCCCATCAGTGAGAATGCAAACATAGTTGTGGGGTCCTTGGTGCTCTCTAAGCTTGCTTGTTTTCTTGCAGACATTTCATTACCCAGTACTGATGATGTTACCGAGCTAGGTAATGAAACATCTGCAACAGTGGTGGGTTTCAAAAAAAATTACTACCGGTTCTGTGGGTGTGGCTTGTTGGGTGTGGCATGGCTTGGTAGGCATGCCAGGGGAAGGATGCTGTAAAATCTCCATTCTCACCCAACTCCAGGGGAAGGTTACTGCAAAATCCACATTTCCTCCCAATCAGCTGGGACTTGGGAGGCAGAGAATAGATGGGGGTGGGGCCAGTCAGAATTTTTACTACGGGTTCTTCGAACTACTCAAAATTTCCACTACCGGTTCTCCAGAACTGGTCAGAACCTGCTGAAACCCACCTCTGATCTACAAGAAAACAAGCAAGCTCAGGGAGCAACAAGGACCCCTCATTTCAACTCTGATCTACAAATATTTTCCTTTATTGGTAAAATATATTTATTGAATGCTAATACCTTGAACAAGACCCAGCCAAATACAAAACAATTGTAAAACTGGATTACTGTATTAAAGCTATATTATATAGGAAAAAATGTGCTATGCACCTTCCCTTATTTATTTGTAAAGTTGCAAAAACAACACAGACACACAGACTGGGATAACTCCAACTGAGTTTCAAACTGAGATATCCAATAACCTATCCAAAATACATCCTTCCCAACAATGGATATCCATAGGACATGTGTACTAATAATGGCATATTTTATCTTTTGTAATGTGCGATTATGATGCATCAATATGTAATCCATTTAACATCCAAAGATATTCCCAACTTGGTAACTACTAGTAGATTAGAAGAAAGAGGAAACACAGAAGCATAAGTACGTTTCAAAGTTATAGAATATAGAATGAAAAGATATAAAATTATCCAAATAAACTCCAAGCAGAATTAGAAAGCTTACAGTTTGGAAGGAGACTGTAAAAGAATGACATGGGCCATCTAGGTATCTGGGACAAGCCACAATGATATCATAGATTATGACATAATTGTGCAAACGAATTATGAAAATTATTAGTGTGCATCAAACACATCACCATGATACAAATCTAACTCACTTCATCCACTTTATCCATATGATGTAGGGGTGGGTTCTACTTACCTTTACTACCGGTTTGAAATGGGATCGTGCGTGCGTGCGCTCACTTCACTCACACACGCGCTTTCCTTCTGTGCATGCGCAGATCACTTCTGATGACGTCAGGTTCAGTGGGTGGAGCCTCCCGCCGGTTTTACTACCGGTTCTATAGAACTGGTCTGAGCCGGGGGCAACTCACCACTGATATGATGTCATAATGTGTGTAATATCATTTGCTCCACACACCTCCTTCACCAATGTCTATAGAGTTTGCAAGTATAACCAAGGTATTCTTATGTAAGTCTCTCCAAAAGAATATGTGAGCATTGATTATGAGGCATGTATGCCTTCATTTTTAGGCTAAGGGTTGCCAAACATGAGGAGTGAAGATAAAGTTTTATGGATCCCTACCGTGTTTCCCCAAAAATAAGACCTGTCTTATATTTTTTTGAACGTTGAAATAAGCACTTGGCCTTATTGCCATGCCCTCAAAAGCCTGATTGGGCTTATTATCGGGGGATCAATGGTGGGTTCCTCCCGGTTCAGCCCAGTTCCGCTGAGCCGGTAGCGGTGATGATATGATGTCACCGAACCGGTTCTGGCCACCCCCATCCCCCACCCCCCGCGTTATTCTTACCTTTTATTTGGCCTCACCCCCAATCTATTGCTGCTTCCTGAGGCCCAGCTGATGGCTAGAGGGAAAAAAACTGTTTAAACTCTTGCCGCGGGGCTTCAAAGGGCCGCCCTACAGCTGATCAGTGTTAAAAGAAAACAAATGAGTAGACCGGTGCCTGCAAAAATAAATGGGTAGACCGGTGCCTGCAAAAATAAATGGGTAGATCGGTAGAGCTCTGCAAGCAGTTAAAAGCCTGATAGACCAGTACCTCTGCTAAATCCTAAATAATTGTCACATGACCATCAAGCCACGCCCATAAAATAAGCCATGCCCACAGAACCAGTAGTAAAAAATTTTAGAACCCACCCCTGCGGGGGATGTCTTATTTTGGGGAAGACTAGGTAAATCTAACTCAAAATGGAAGGGACAGAGAAAATAGACATTAGAAGAACAAAAGGTTACAAGCTTCTACACCAGCAGAAGATAGCAGAACAGAAGAGGATTGAGCAAAGACAGAAGTTTTTACACTTAGCTAAGGAACCAAGCTAAAGTAAGGACACAGAGCTACCTGGAGTTACCTGAAATTGGAATTACCTGGAGTTACCTGGAGATGGACTGTATGTTTTTATAAGGAGGCCAAAGTTGAGGTAAAGTAAATAAACCTAGCCATGTTCATCGAAATGATCATAATTCAGGTCTCTCTTCCAATACAAGAACCATATATATTTTTTTAATTTGAGGAAAGTTAAGGAGGCAAACAAAGACGAACCTATTCTGGCCCCAGCAGGCCCCGCGTCCTTGTTTTAGCGCCTTTTAGTTTAAGACAGAGTGTAGTCAAAGAAGGGAATGTTCCTTATTTGCCAGGGCATGCTATTTCTCAGATCCTTCATCCTATGCCAGATTTCATTTGCAGGGATTAGACACCCTAATAATTTGAAATCTAAGCAATCAAGAAAAGTATCCAAAATTCTCACCAGATCTCATCTTCAATTTACCTTAATAACCCAACCTGCAGTCTCCTACAGCACAATGTTCCACCTTTATTGCACCACAAAGCTTTCATCTCATCCACCCATGAATGAAACAGTCTAAAATATCATTAAATCACCCTTTCCCTTTTAAATTCCTCACCACCATTTCAAGATTTACCATGCTTTACCATTATCCCAGAGACAAAGTCAGATAACCTGTTATGGGTGTGGTGTTGTTCCTCTTTTGCAGTCCTCAGAAACGAGGTATGTTGCACGTGCTGGTGTTGCTTATTTTCCAATTTTTCTATAGTTGTCCATTTTAATCCCTTTGGTTTGCACCTTCTCTGAAGAAAGCAATTGAGACAATGTGACATTCAGCAGTGACTTGGAAGAGAGGCAACAGGGGCTGGATAGAAATTAGCAACCCCAACAGCAATTTTTAGGCCAGCACTCAAGGATGTGTGGATAAATTCAGAAAAAGGATTCTTGTTTTAGGTATAGGTAAAGGTAAAGGTTCCCCTCGCACATATGTGCTAGTCGTTCCTGACTCTAGGGGGCGGTGCTCATCTCCGTTTCAAAGCTGAAGAGCCAGCACTGTCCGAAGACGTCTCCGTGGTCATGTGGCCGGCATGACTAAACACCAAAGGCGCACAGAACGCTGTTACCTTCCTACCAAAGGTGGTCCCTATTTTTCTATTTGCATTTTTTTTTACGTGCTTTCGAACTACTAGGTTGGCAGAAGCTGGGACAAGTAACGGGAGCTCACCCCATTACGCAGCACTAGGGATTCGAACCGCTGAACTGCCGACCTTTCAATCAACAAGCTCAGTGTCTTAGCCACTGAGCCACCACGTATATTTAGGTATAATCTGTACAAAAGAAGCACATGAGCTTGGTTCATGGTGCTCTTGGAGCACTGATGATGTTTGGTTAACGAAATGTTCTGCAAGAAAACAACCAAGCTTAGAGAGCATCAAGGATCCCTCATTTCAACCCTGAGCTACTAATATTCTCCTTTATTAGTAGAAGAAGCACACCTTAACAATTTGTTCCAATTTCTCTTCTTCCACAGTGGCTTTGGTTCAAATTCTTTTATGGCTTCCTTATTGGGAGCTTCTCTTCCATCCACATTTAAGTCAAATCAGGTTTCCTAAAAAAAATCCTTGCTCCTGCGGCTGATGGTCCCTGTCACACGTGTGCAGTCAGTGTCTGCATTTTCAAATCCCAGACAGCCTTATTCAAGTGGTGTTGGCCTGGTTGAGATTTATAGCACCTGCATTTAATTATGTGCCTTGTTCTTTCGACTTAGCTTTTAATTTTCTGTACTTTCCAAAGAGATAATTTGAACAATTTCATTTTTGCGTACCTTTGCACATGTCTATGTATATTACTTTTTTGTTGGTGGGTGAACTCATAGAAATTAACAATTATGCATCAGAATGTACCAGTAATCTGCGATGGACCGCTGGATCACACGTGATAACATAATAGTGAAATATCTGGAAGAAATAATATGTTCCTAACAGATGAAGGATTCGGTACTAATTCAATTTGTATTCATTGAGCATTAGGTGAGCACCTAATACAATGACAATTGAAAATATTGAAATATTGTTTTGCATATTAAAAAATAATATGTATATAATATTCAAATCTAAAATTTAGCCTAGAAATTCGGGGAAGGCAATCAGACTTCTCCCATTTATTGATTAACCTAGTTTTAAGTAAATGACTTAATACGGTTTAACACTTTATACCATTAGTGATGGAAATCTTTTCTCTGATTATATTTTTCAGAAGAATTGCCTACAAATTTAAATCATGTTTCATACAGGACAGATTTTATTCTATTTAAGTTTATCAGGACTCTTCAATTGCAATCATTCATTCACAATATTTGAAAACTGGTGCATATAGCCAACTCATTTAAAATCAAAAGATGCTCTTCAGTTCACATCAAATGAGAAAGAGATTTGAGATATGAACTCATTAAATAACCTTGGAACTCTTTCTGAAAAATGCTCCATCCAGGCAAATTACTAGAAACTGGCCATAAAAATAATAGTTAGCTTTAATACTACATTATAAAACTTGGAAGTGGAAACCGGATTTTACTGAGATTGTAATCAGAGTAATACATGTTATTATCTCTGAGGACCATTTGCGTTGATAGTTCTGAGGAAATCAGAAAACCTCAATCTTTATTTATTCTATTCTACAATATTTATAATCTGACACAATCAAACAAAAGTGCGCTTAGTAATTACTCCTGCTTATTGTTGATATTTCCCAATACTTACAAACCAAGAATTTTTTTCTTGGTAGCTATTCTTGCAAATCAATAGAAAATTAAAATATATATTTCTTTCTGCAGCATCCATAACAAAGATGTTGTCTACATGATTGATTGATTGATTATGGCCATTAACTCAAAAAAGGCCATATCATAAACATCAGTAGTACCTCGACAAAGAAAAAAGAACAAAGAACACACACATGTAACATAATACATATTAATGATTCACAAAATACCCTAGCCCAGTCTCAGAGAACACCTTTAGGTGCAGGAAAAGATGTTATATTTGGATGCTTTCTGCAGAATCATTTAGAATAGAATAGAATAGAATAGAATAGAATAGAATAGAATAGAATAGAAGAGAAGAGAAGAGAAGAGAAGAGAAGAGAAGAGAAGAGAAGAGAAGAGAAGAGAAGAGAAGAGAAGAGAAGAGAAGAGAAGAAGAGAATTCTTTATTGGCCAAGTGTGATTGGACATACAAGGAATTTGTCTTTGGTGTATATGTTCTCAGTGTACATAAAAAGGCAAGATACATTCATCAAGAATCATAAGGTACAACACAGTGGTGAAATCCAATTTTTTTTACTACCAGTTCTGTGGGCGTGGCTTTGTGGGCATGGCAGGAGAAGTATACTGCAAAATCCCCATTCCCACCCCACTCCAGGGGAAGGATACTGCAAAATCTCCATTTCCACCCCACTCTAGGGCCAGCCAGAGGTGACATTTGCCGGTTCTCCGAACTGCTCAAAATTTCTGCTACCAGTCCTCCAGAACCTGTCAGAACCTGCTGGATTTCACCCCTGGTACAACACTTAATCATGGTCATAGGGTACTAATAATCAATCAGGAAACAATCAATATCAATATAAATTGTAAGGATGCAAGCAACAAAGCAAAGAAGATCTTACAGTGGATCTTGCAAAATGAGAGTAGCTTTCCTGTGCGCTCTGCCACCCTATAACCAAGATCCGTGTTACTTCCTGCGGCGGCAAATCCAATCAAGTTCTCCTCGGTCATCAAAAGGCTGCTTGTCTACCTGATTGGCTTGAATTGCTCCCATTACTCAGTTGTGCTTACCGTGTTTCAGTGAGAAAACAGTTTCCTGTCATAACAAGCATAACTCAAGGCTGTCAAGAAAACTATCGATTAGTTTTTAAATAAACTGGCTGGCACATCACCATAATCTTTGTATCAGTGCCCGAGGATACAAAACTGCTGCAATCCTGGTACAAATGCCTTCAATGGAGGTAGAGGAAGAAGATGCAGGATCGAACCCTATCACCCCCAGTCTAAAGCAGCCCCTCCATCACCCAGAATGGATAGAATGAACAGCAATTGGTAAATCATAGTGTATAGCTGCAGACCTAAGATTACAGAACTGTAACCATTAGGTTAAAGTGGTCGTATATCCCATTTCACATCACCTACGATTTGAAAGTCTCCTTTAATTAAAATGGTACCCAATCCAATTCCAATTAAAAGGAAAGAAAAAGAAGAAGGGAGGGGTCTTATACCAGTCATCCTCAACATACGGCCACAATTGAGCCCAGAATCTCTGTGGCAAAGTGAAACATTTGTCAAATGAGTTTTGACTCATTTTACGACCTTTCTTGACACCGTTGTTAAGTGAATTGCTGCAGTTGTTAAGTTAATCACATGGTTGTCAAGTGAATCTGGCTTCCCCATTGACTTTGTTTGTCAGAAGATCTCAAAAGTTGATCCCATAACTCCAGGACATTGCAACTGTCATAAATATGAGTTAGTTGCCAAGCATCTGAATGTTAAGATCATGTGACCATATAGATGCTGGAACAGTCGTAAGTATGAAAAACAATCACAAGTCACTAGTTTCAGGGCCGCTGTAATTTTGAATGGTAGCTAAACAAACTGTTGTAAGTCGAGGACTACCTATCAACTATGGATCAGCTATGGGACATTGCAAATGTACAAATTTTCTATTGTTATCATCCTCCCCACCATGATGTTAGCACCAATACCTGAAAAAGATATAATTAACCTCTAACAAAAGATAAGGTCTCTCTCAAAGTCAACGTTGGAACGTCCATGTCGTCATCTTGGCATTAACATAGAAATAATTTGCCACTGTCATATTTTAAGTTCATAACAGAATAACAGAGTTGAAAAGGACCTTGGAGATCTTGTAGACCAAGTCCCTGCTCAAACAGGAAACCCTATACTATTTCAGACAGATGTTTGTCCAGTCTCTTCTTCAAAACTTCCAGTGTTGGAGCACCTACAACTTCTGGAGACAAGTCGTTCCACTGATTAATTGTTCTCACTGTTAGGATATTTCTCCTTAGTTGTAGGTTGCTTCTCTCCTTGATTAGTTTCCATCCATTGCTTCTTGTCCTGCCTTCAGGTGCTCTCTTCTTTGTGGCAGCCCCTTAGATATTGGAACACTGCTATCATGTCCTCCCCTTGTCCTTCTTTTCAGAAAATTAGACATACCCAGTTCCCCTCAACCGTTCTTCATACGTTTTAGCTTCCAGTTCCTTAATCATCTTTATTGCTCTTCTCTATGCTCTTTCTAGAGTCTCAACTTCTTTTTTTACCTTTTAAAGACCAAAATTGAATACCCTGGTTGTTGTGAATTTTTTTGCATTTAATTTAATCATACACTGATTAAGGACTGTACATGTTATCTTTCATTACCACAACCTTCTGTGTTCTCCATTATTTAATTAAAATTAAAGAGAAAACTTTGATAGGAAACTCCTTCTCTGGAACTTTGCAGGCAGTTGTAAATGCTGCATGTGAATGAAAGGATGTGTGTCCAAAAGAACTCAAGAGTATCAATGTTGTGAAGTCCACAACTATAAAATAAGCTAAAGCCCCAGTATTTACAAGATTTTTTTTAAAAAAAAAAAAAACAGATCTTTTTCATAAGGGAAGAAGAAAAAAATTGGGAATTGGAGAACAGATTTTGGCACATTCCTACTAAAAAGTTACCTTAGTCACTGATGGTATCTCGATCCTGGAAAGAACTTCTAAGATGCTAACTTGGTCTTTCAGGAAACATTCAATCACATTAAAAGCCCAATGCAAATCTCCGTCCAGTTAAGCAATTTCCTAGCTCACAGTACTAAACCAAAAAAGCTAATACAATCCTTGGTTGTATAAACAGAGGCATACAATCAAAATCACGTGAAGTATTAGTGCCACTTTATAAAGTAAAGGCCACACCTGGAATACTGCCTCCAGTTTGGGTTACCACATTACAAAAAAAGATGTTGAGACTTTGGAAAAAGTGCCAAGAAGAGCAACTAAGATGATTAAAGGCCTGGAGACAAAAACATGAAGAATGGTTGCAGGAATTGGATATGGCCAGTCTAGAGAAAAGAAGAGTAGGGGTGATATGATAGTAGTATTCTAGTATTTGAGGGGCTGCCACAAAGAAGAGGGGGTCATCTTGCTTTCCAAAGCAGCAGAGGGCGGGATAAGAAGAAATGGATGGAAAGTAATCAAGGAGAGAAGCAACCTGGAATTAAGGAAAAATTTAAGGGTGCTTCATCACTGGAGGTTTTTAAGAAGAGACTGGACCTGTCTGAAATGGTATAGGGCAGGAGTGTCAAACTCAAGGCCTGGGGACCGAATCCAGCCCACGAGTTGTTTAGATCTGGCCCGCGGGGTCACTCTGGAAACAGCGAAGGACTGACCCGCGGTGCAGTGGTGGGTTCCTCCCGGTTCGGTCCAGTTCGGCTGAGCCGGTAGCGGTGACGATATGACCTCACCGAACCAGTTCTCCCCCCCTCAGCCCTCCCACCCACGTTATTCTTACGTTTTATTTGGTCCCACTCCCAATATATTGCTGCCTCCTGAGTCCCAGCTGATGACTAGAGGGAAAAAAACTGTTTAAACTCTTGCCGTGGGGCTTCAAAGGGCCGTCCTACAGCTGATCGGTGTTAAAAGCAAACAAATGAGTCGGGTCGTAAGTGCGAGGACCTTCCAGAAATGACTCTGACCAGCTAGCCATGCCCACCTAGTCACATGACCTCCAAGCCACACCCACAAAATAAACCACACCCACAGAACCGGTAGTAAAAAAATTTAGAATCCACCCCTGCCGCGGTGCCTCTGCCAGCAAAAACGGAGCTTGCGAGGGCCACAGTATACAGTACTACTACAGTATATAATAATTGTAACAAAGAAGAGGCTCCCCTACTTAAAACTTCTGATCACAACTTAATGGGAACGTTGTGCTTTCCTTGTAAGAAGATGCTGCAGTGAATTCTTCAAGTCATAAAAGGATCGAATGTTAGAAAATAACCACTCTACTGAAGGTCTTGGAGAGAATTTCTGCCGGATAGATGGTCAGGGCTACTTTGGCCAGTTAGAGAAAGGTGCTTCCTCCATTTAGCAATGCATAATCCAAATGCCCACACCAATAAAATTGTCTGCTACAACTTCTTACCTGTCAATGATTTCTTCAGCTTCAACCACAATAATACACGGGCAAACAATTGATATAAACTCAAGGTAAACCGCTCCAAACTGCTGGGCCTGGTGGCTCAGCAGACTAAAAGCATTGTGAGTAACACCAGCTGTCTGCAATTACTGTAAGTTCGAATCTCACCAGGCTCAAGGTTGACTCAGCCTTCCATCCTTTCTAAGGTAGGTAAATTGAGGACCCAGTTTGTGGGGGCAATACGCTGACTTTGTATAAATATACAAAAGTATGAAGGCTATTGCGTAATGCATTGTA